CCCTCCCCTCGTCTCTGCCGGTGACGCTCGCGGATTCCTTCACGGCCTCCTCCCCCTCCTCCAGCCGCCTGGCCCGCACAACACACACCCCAGCCTGCCCAGCCTGCCCCGGCCCAAACTCGGCCCGAGGGAGAGAAAGTCAGGTCCTCGCCATCCATCCCGGCCCGCCCCGCCCCGCCCAGGGTCGCACCGTCGCCACCGTATTGGCAGCCCCTCCACCCCCTCCACGTTCACGCGGCTGAGGCTCGCTGAACATAAATCTCCGTGTTTAAGAGCGATAGCCATGCATGCCGGCCGACCTCCACGAACAGGAGGGGGCTCGATAGCACTCCAACAGCAGGGGGTGCAGCATTTAGCTGCTCGCCGCTGCTCGCGGCCGTCACATTCGCACCGCGACTTGTACAGGAAGCAGTGAGCCCCCCGGGACCATCACCACCATTGCGTCGTCTCCACGGGGAGGACGCACAGCAGCTCCGCGCAGCTCCGCGTGCTACAGCCGACAAGCCTAGCCTTGCTCGCCCCGAGTGCAATAATCAATAGCGAGAGCAAGGGGGAGCGAGACAATGACAGTTCCAGCGAGGAGCTAACCTGCGAGCTTCGTTAAAAGGTCTTCTTAGAGCTCATGGCGACGTAGATTTGACCGCGGGTTATAGGTGCGTTATAGTTGGGGGGGGGGGGCGTCTCTGGCGAGCCGCCTGAAGGGTAGGCAATTTGTGCTACAAACCCCCCCCTGTATGTAACATGTAGGCAACCCGACGGTGTGCACCCCCCCCCCCGGCCTTATACTGCGCCTGCTCCTCTGTTTGGCCGACACTTTAGAAAAGAGGACCAAACATGTTTTTGCCCACGTTTAGGAGGATGGCCGCACATTTGCCTTGCCTACCAACCTGGCGGTGACTAAACATCATGAGGGAGGACGTTGTTGGGTGGGTGTACCGGTGGTGTAGCTACACGCTCTCGCATCCACCGCTATCTCCCAATTGCATATGCAACGTGTAGGTGCCCCAGCTCTCTTCTTCTGAAGTCTCGCTGTTCGAATCGCTCTCCGCTTCCCCTTCACTCGGCTCCGTTCTGCTCACCTGGAAGCAGCCGCACCAGCCGCGGCGCCCTCGCACGGAGGCCGGCATGACGGCTATCTTGGGCAGCTTGGGCAGCTTGGACAGGTCCAGGTCCGGCAGCTTGGGCAGCTTGGGCAGCTTGGGCAGCCGGAGGCCCGCGACGCACTCGCCCACCGCCTCACGCACACGGCCAGGGTCCCAGGTCACGCCCAGCTGGCACGCGGGCAGCACCTGCAACAGGAACAGGGGAGAGCATTGAGTACACTGTACGCTAATTAATGAAAGGCAGTGTTCGGAATATTAAGATAAGAATTACTCAAAATCAAAGAACCGCAACTTTTATCCAGACAGAGAAGCGTACACACTCAGACCGTTTTTTGCTTGCATTTCTGTGTGTGGTCCATGGACTTACATTCTAATATTATGGACAACTTTGTCTGTGTATAAATATTTCACCGTGATGTTATAGAATTGATATAGTATATTGATATACAAACAGTGGAAAAGAGCTCTCTTTACACTACCATTAAGTACCACGCGACGAAGAAACAGCCGCAAAATGTCTGCTGTACGATTATGAAAGTAAAGCCAACGCGTTCACTACGCAACGGTGCCCTCAGCAACTCGTCTGTCTCTACCCGCGGTCTCGCCTGCGGTACTAAACACCAATTATAATTAAAAGCACGTGTAGAAAAAAGAATGGCAGCCGCACTCAGCCAAACAAATAACACAAAAGTGGTCGACAAAAAAAGGTGCTATATGGCTGTCGTCCACTCTATGAAGTGTGCGCGTAGCATTTGTGGAGAACTTTTAAGTATTAGGATGCCAAACAACAATCTTCCATTTGAAGGCCAACGGAGTCAACGTGAACGGCACGCAGGAACCGCTCTATACCTAGCACATTGGCTTGGTCAGTGTGCGGGGAGATAGGAGGGGGGCACCTAGGTGACGGGCAGTTTGGGCAAGGCGCGTCAGAGCGCTCGACTTCATTGGGATTCAACAGCTCTGCGGACCGCCCACCATCTTCGCTCGCCCCCCC